ACCGTATTTATATAGCGCGATTAAAGTTGTAAGTAAAAAAATAAAGAGGTCTTATATTTAAACCAACTAAAGCGGTGTCACAAATAGTTGTTAAATTCTTAAATTTAACAGACTTCTTTAGCTAGCTTTCGCCCGCGACTCCATCCGCATGGCATTAAAATACAAAAGTAAATAACCTATGTGTCCATTCAGACTACCCTCTATATTTATTCTAAATTTCATCAAGATCAGTTCATTCATCAGCAGTTTAGGCTACAAACTCTAACAAACATCCATCCATCTGAACTTTCGCATTTATATTATTAGTAAGAAGTGAGATATAATCTTAAATAATGCATAACAATGTGTTGCAACTATATGCCCTATAAAGGCATAAACGATAAGTTCACAGGAAATATGACCTACTTGTACAAATGGGTATTTTGCTACAATTTATTGCATAATTGGTAAAACGATTCAACATACATATGCTTCTAAACTGGAGAAGTAAGATTAAAAAATATGTTTTTGTACAGGCTTTTCTGAAGTAGGACTGACGGTTACAAACGTTAGTTGAATAGGAGTTCTTTCAATATCGAAACCTTCTTAGGTATTTTCTTTTATATAAATCATAAGGTGGCAAACAAGCAAGCGGTCACCTAAATCCACCAAAATGGTGAAGCGATCGTTGCTCGTAGCCACTAGCAATAGGGGATGCGTTGCCTACCCTTAATCGACCGAAGAGGAGGCGCACATAAAGAGGATATTTTCTCTTCCTATGCGTCTTCTCTATCGTCAAATCCACGTTCCCTTAACATCGTATTCTAGTGAGAATAAAAGAATGGGAAGGAAAAGGGACTAAAATTAGACCTCCGACTCCACACTAATCATACGAAACTTGGAGTTGCTCCCACTTGACGCCTGTCTTCTGTGTGGTCGTGGTATTACACCGGGCGAGTCGACCCATTCATGCGAAGATGGTAAAGCGGGCTCTACCACTGTTAATGGTATGTCCCCAATTATGTCGATCGTTCGTCAAATACAATGTGATAATCTTTTGGCAACATACATTTTCCTTGTCTCTATCCTTATGTGTTTATTAGCTGCACCAACACTATCATAAACAAAACGAAAATGCAAATTAAAAGGGAAAAACAGTTCAGAAATATCCTGTTTACGAAGTTTATTTAGATGTTATCGACTAAAAATTATTTTTTAAAATTACTGCGTTACAAACAAAGTGGTGTCAACATTTAATTTATTATTTATGGTAACACCTCCATAAAATAACCATCGATGTCTGACCAAATTTAGATTACTTTTACCAATTGTAAACAAGCTATAAAAACGCGGTACCCATACAATGGGTGACGTCACGAGTTAGTGATTTCTTCGGCATCAACCTCACTGCATTTAATACTTCGAAAATAGAAACAATGGTGCGATGGCCAGTTACACGTTTTGTGGAAAAGAATACCAAGTTATATTGTGTTCTTTGCCAAGTCATGCTTATGTCGTCTTTCACAAGTAAATCTTGATTTATTGTATAATATTATTAACCACAGGATGTTTATAGAAGTGATTATTTTCAATAAACAAGACATACAGGAGGATTCAGTAAATGTTTCTGTAAAATATATATTTTTTTGCATAAACATAAGCGATGTATCACTCAATAAATATTTACTAATAATTTATATAATTAATAATTTTATTCTACATGTATACTATAAATTAAAAACATAACTGCATGACTGTTTCAATTCCTAGCTTAGCCGATAGCCGCGACATCGACTGCGCACATTTAAAAAGTTAGGTAAGTAGTCTATGTGTTCTTCTAGACTATGTTCATCATTTACATCTTTGCTTAACATCTAGATCCGTTAAGCCGTTTTGGAGATACGTAGAACTGAACATCGACCCGTACATTTATAATATTTGCATGAAATATGATGTTAATTTTAAGTATGTTGACAGTATATATGTTAAAATTGGAAAGAGAAACTTTATTATCCATGTTATATTAAAAACATGGAAACATAGCTCAAAAATCTAAGGTAACACCAGTTCCTTGTCTTGCGTTTGTGAATCACTATTCTTAATCATGTCTAAAAGACGCAATCTTGATACACCTATTAAAAATATCTACAAGAGATGTGTGACGTCACTACCAATCTATAGTAGCCTTAGTTGTATCCGGGACGCTGATGACGTCATTTACGACGTCAAAGACTAGACACGCAGATTTACGCCATTATTGTATAGAACACAATTTACGCATTCCATTACGAAATAAAGAAAAGATTTTTTTATAATTTTTTTTAATTGATAGCTTTGAAAATAGTTTTGAAGTCACCGTTTTAGGGTTCGTTTGACATGTCGCTCACACACTAGCCATAGGTGAATTTTGCTTATTGGTACCGATTTTACTTAAACCATTATTATGTTAACATGTTTGAATATAGGTTAAAATAATCGATGTCGGTCTGTTTGCGTTTACATGATTCATAACCACGGAAGTAATTGATTACCTTTTACGGTTTGCCTACGATACTTATACCGACCAGTCAAAAAAATATATAAAACGGTTTTTCTACAAAATTACATTTTATTTCCGTTTAAACTATTTTACCGCATTAGTTATATTTCGTTTACAGCTTTTAACTGCAGAAACATAGGGGTAATATACATGTGGAATACATTACTAATAACGTCTTAGTAATAGGCACATTATACTGTCTGTAAAATTGATTGCCTCGCGTGTCTAGCGATGTGCTAAGTTTGTCTAACACGCAGATGTATTACCTAAAATACTAAAGAGTCCTGTAGCTAAAAATAGTGCATATGTGAAAAATAAAAACGTGACCTATAAGGTCTTTTTGGCCTTTAAATAAAAAATAAACCAAATTCAAAAATTGTCGTCTAAAAGGCCTGTAACACACTTTCGCAAAAGGGATCTGAAATAAATCTAACGATATGAACTTGACATATATTTAGTTGATTTTGGCGAATCATTTAACAGTGTATAGTAAACTAATACGTAGCGAACTATGCGTTCCATTTTTGGTTTGTTTCTTGGTTTGGTTCACAATATGCTTCGAGTCGCTTTTGCGTATGCTAGATGTAATTTAAATATGTTTTTCTACTTAAATTGTGTTTTTTAGTCAAAGAACGTAGCAAAAATTATGTTATAATCAATTCAATCAGAGTAGATAGAAAGCAACATTTCCACTTGCATCAGTAAATCAATACGATCGAATATATCTGTGTGGGCGGCGTCATATCGTGATTTGTGATGACATCGGTATGTGGGGAGATTACAATATATGACCAAAATGTCAACTTCAATTTTTTATACAAAAATATATATCTAACAAGTCACGTACGTATTAATGTACCTATTGACTGGTGCTATTCATATTAGGCAACTAAAATATACATTGGACATGATACAGCACAACCCATAATTCCATACCCCAACAAGAAAAAGTGGATTTGACGGCGGAGACGGATAGGGTAGGCAACTCATCTGTAATCTGTGGATGTCTATGAGCAGCGGTCGGTCCGCCATTTCGGCGGATTCAGGTGACCGGTTGCTCGTTTTCCACCTTGTATTATAAAAAAGACGTGCCCCAGACTATACCATTCCTACTTTTTCTATGAGTAAGAAAATAATCTAGGAATTTAAACCGTAAAACTTGGATTAATTAATTATAACCGTTTAAACACTTTAGAATCAACGAATTCACAACTTAAAATCAAACCTCAATATCGCATGACAAAACAAACGTGAACGCAATAACAAAAACAAATATTTTAAGTGTATAATAATGCATTGTATTCGATTCACTACGCAGACGGATTGCCAAAAGCTACGGTTACTTATATATGTTACGTCCATGTTGGGAAGACAAAGCAATAGCCGCTGGTTATCATGGACCACAAAGGGAGAGAGACTAAATAAAACTCCGATGACCTACAATATAGTCTGTCCGCTTTTTAATATTGTTCTGCTAATGTAAGATGGTTGCCTATATGTGTATAACTTTAGCAAAACTATTAAAACGTATAAAAACGAGTATTGCAAACTAACTT